GAACTTATGAACGATGTGTTTTTTTAAAATCTCGAACCCTATATGGGGGAGGTACTAGAAGGAGTGACCCGATATATCCATCTTCACAGCAGATCTTGTGGTAGCAAAATAATGGGATGTGGGAAATATGAAGTGAACCGGATGCTTATTTCGTACATAATAATCTCTTTGGTGATTCGAAACTTTGACCCTTGGTGGAGGGTATCAAGAGGGAATGATCCGATTTCTGCTTTCTTTATAAATGATCTTGTGTTATCGCAATTGTTGAGATGTGTGAAATATAAAGAGAACCGGATGCCTACTTCGGATTTTATGATCATTTTGGTTATTCAAACCTTTGACCCTTTGTGTGGGAGGTAACAGATAAAGTGGTCCGATCTCTACCATCTCCACAGCAGATCTTGAGATAGAAGATGTGTTAAACATGAAGAGAACCGGATGCATATTTCAGATTTTAAATTCGTTTTGATTTGTGGGGGAGATTCCAGAAGGAATGGTCCAATCTCTACCATCTTTATAACAGATCTTGTGCTGATAGAAATATTGAGATGTCTGAATAGAATCGAATGTTAATTTCGTGTTCTATAAGCTCCATGGATATTCAAAGTTATGACCCTTTGTGGGGAGGTACAAGAAGGAATGACCCGATATCTACCATCTTCACAGCAGATATTGAGATAGTAGAAATAATAGGATGCGTAAAATATGAAGAGAATTGGATGCATTTTTCGGATTTTATAATCGTTTTGGTTGCTCAAAACTTTGACCCTTTGTGGGGGAGATTCCAGAAGGAATGGCCCAATCTCTACCATCTTTATAACAGATCTTGTGCTGATAGAAATATTGAGATGTGCCAAGTCTGAATAGAATCGAATGTTAATTTCGTGTTCTATAAGCTCCATGGATATTCAAAGTTTTGACCCTTTGTGGGGGAGGTACAAGAAGGAATGATACGATATCTACCATGTTCACAGCAGATTTTGAGATGGTATAAATATTAGGATATGTGAAATATGAAGAGAACCCGATGCATATTTCGGATTTTATAATTGTTTTGGTTATTCCAAACTTTGACCCTTTGTGGGGAGGTACCAGAAGCAATGGTCTGATCTCTACCATCTTTATAACAGATCTTGTGTTGATGGAAATATTGAGATTTGCCAAGTCTGAAAAGAATCGGACGTTAATTTCGCGTTTTATGAGCTTCATGGATATTCCAAATTTTGACCCTTTGTGGGGGAGGTGCCAGAAGGAATGATCCGATCTCTTCCATCTTCCCATCAGATCTTGGGATAGTAGAAATAATAGTAGGTGTAAAATATGAAGATAACCGGATGCATTTTCGGATCTTATAATCGTTTAGGTTATTCAAAATTGTGGGGGAGGTACCAGAGGGAATGGCCCGAACTATACCATCTTTATAACAGATCTTGTGTTGATGGAAATATACAGATGTGCCGAGTCTGAATAGAGTCGGATTTTAATTTCAGGTTTTATGAGCTTCATGAATGTTCAAAAGTTTAACCCTTTGTGGGGGTGCTACCAGAAAGAGCGGACCAATATATTACATCTTCACACTAAACCTTTGGTAAATAAAAATATTGTGAGGTGTGTAATTTGAAGGCAATCGGACGCTTACATCATCATTTCATATCATTCGAAATGTTGACCCTTAGTGTGGGAGGTACTTGATGCAGCTATCCATTTCCACCCTTGACCTAGCGCTCATGAAAATATTAGAATTTGCTAAATTAGAGCAAAATCGAATTATCCTTTCTCTTTCTGTGCAGTAACTATTTTCTTTGAAAACGGTGACCAAAAGGAAAGGACCGATGTTGCCCATCTCCGCACTCGATCTAAGTTTGAGAATAATATTACGATGTACCAAGTTTGGATCAAATCGGATACTCTCTTCAAGAGTTATGCACCAGCCAGACAGACGAACGGACAGACATCGCTAAATCGACTCCAATGTCCTGAAACAGATTTGGTCCAAAGAGACCTAGGGTTTTAAACTGTTTTTTCGATGAGACACTTTTTGGCCGTATCAAATGATATATACCTTCTGTGGTCATATGGCTGAGGGTATAAAAATGTCACTCCCAAAAATTTCAGTTCACAGTCTTTTGAAGAGTATTTTCCATCTTATCCATAAAATATTTTCAATTTATGGCCTAAGATATTCACAACTTCGTAGCAATACAAGATGTTTATTCACGTTATACATTTAAATTGAAATTTGATTTCGTTCAAAACCACTCATTTTAAATTCCCTTCATATACCCCTCATGCACTCCCGCACTCCCACACACACCAACACAAAGTCCATAATTGAATAATAACTCATGCCATTATGAACATTTTAATTTTCTTATTGCTTAATGATTTACCCCCCGGAAAGGCAAATAGCTTTTGGCCCAAAGCGTAACCGCTAATCACGTTCGAGTCACCATCGTTATTAGGATCATTCAATTAATTTTAGCCTGTGAAAGTAACAGCTGACTTCGTTGCGCGACAACGAGGAATTTGGGGTAGCAAGTTTGCTGGCTGCCATGAATTTGGCCAACCAACATCAGGCCTAATGCGGACAATGGCATCATTTGGCGAAATTTGCCAACCGTTTTGGCTAGCATTTTTTTCTTCGGCACAATAATAACGACAATGTAACAGCGAAATTTTGCGCCCCAAAGGCAAATGCAGTGAACTTTAATGGCTGAGCTACAGGGGAAGGATATTGAAATTGTGTTTTGCTACAATTCTCCAAGTTTAGAAACTGTGAACAAGTTGTTGCCAGATTCCAACTCACAGCAATGAAGCAACCGCACACACAAAAAATAGAAACAACAACAACAATTCTGTTCTTTCTACTCACTTACCTACAACAATTTCCAATTAACCACAAAATTTATAATTGAAAACTTTTGTTGTTTGCATTCGGCAGCGTTCATTGCCAAGGAAAAACATTGATGTTCAATGATGTTCCTTCCAATTTTTTGTTGCTTTTGGTTTTTTTATTTTCAATTTTTTCTTTTTTTTTTTTTGGAAGCAATAAAAGTTGTAGTTCCACAAAAGAAAAAAAAAACACTTTTTGGTTAAACGTTTTTTCACCATCTCCTCTTCCGAAGCATATAGTTATGTATATGTGTGTGTCCACAACGAAACTTTGGCCCAATAAGCAAAAGTTATGCTGTTTGTTTTTTAATTTTTAATTTCAAACAGTTTTATTAATTGAAATTTGCTAATTTGTGGAGAGTTCAAAAGTTTTTCGCCCATCTCAAAAATCAAATACATTAAAAATTATTCTGACAAGTTTTTGTTTTTTTGTTTAAACATTGAAGTGGTCTGGGAAGAAATTTTTGTGTGGGGGCATGTCATAAAAACATGTTGATGGTGTTTAACTAATACTCAAGGCATGAAAGTTGTGAGTTGTTGTTCGGCTATTTGAAACTTAGAAAAAATATGGAAAAATTCTAGATCAACAAAATTATTTTGACAGTTGAAAGAAAAATTTCCATGATATCGATGAAAAAATGTTGACTTACATTCGCAAAGTAGTCTAAATAAAGAAGTAAGTTTTTCCCTCTCCCACGTTTTTGACATTTTCGGATTAAAATTGTTTGGAATCTGTGTATTTAAGGTATAAACTGATGTAAACTTTCAAAAACCCGATTGACGTTTCTTCTTTTGTATACCCTCCACTTTGGAAAGGAGGGTATTCGTCATAGACCCCATAATAATCATAATCAGCATAAAATTCTAAGTGGATTTAACGATTTCCGTCTGACCGTATGTCTGACGTAGAGCTGCAAAATTTGGTAGAAATATTTGTGTTGTGTCTGGGATGGTTGGTATTGAAAATGAGAAATATAGCGCCATTAAGCGGTACATCCGGATATTCGGTATTTTGATGATTTTTGCCATATTTTTCCACGGATTTGTCCGAAAATTGGTATTTGTAAGTCTTATTGAATTCTAGCTCCGGTGGTGGAACATTGTAGGTCCACGTTTTGGTATAGCCCACATATTCGGTGTTTTAATTATTTTTACCACATTCTTCAACGGATTTGTCTAAAAGTTGATATTTTTAGTTCGCAATGGGTTCTCTATCCGGGGCGGAACATAGTAAGTATAGGTCCACGTGTAGATCGTTTTGGTATATGGGGGCTATATAACGGTACCTTGATTATTTCGGTAATTTGATTTTTGCCAGAGTTTTTTACGGATTTGTCTAAAAATTGGCATTAGTAGTTTCCTAATAGAAAATTTACGTCAATGTTTTCCTAAGCGCACATTTACCCACTAAATTGTTTCAAATTTGGTATTTAAGAAGATTTGGTAGATGACAATCCTTGGAGTATAAAATTTTCTATAGATGTTCCCGTTTTGGTATGGTCCCCGTGTAAGAGGTACACCGTTGAATTCAGATACTTTTATATAAACATGCTCTCTTTCCCGAACATTTTTAACAAAACTTCATTTAGAAAAAGAAAAGAAAGCTCTATTTCGAGTAGATCTATGAAGAAAACATAGATTCAATTTTTCTTTGTTCAATTTTTCTTCAATTTTTCGTTTTATATAGAAAGAGTCAAAAGAAGGAATATCTCACACAAAATTACCCTATTTTTCTCGGAATAAGACATTTATCTAGGTTAACCAGTATTTAAGAAAAATTTATTAAAAATGTATTAAAAATTAAAGTTATGTGTTTATGTTTTTTACTGCTAATAAAAAAAATAACAAAAACCACGCAAGTGTAAGATTTGGATATGAAAATATAAGATTATGTAACTGTTGAGATGGATAATATCTGCTTAAATTCTTAAAACAAAAATGTTTTTTCGTTTTCCCTTAACACTAAAACCAAGAACAAAAAAATTGCTCGAAATGTTGTACGCCACTGCGTATGATCATCACATGTAGTTGACATTATTTATACGCCCCAAATAACTTAAATTTCAGTGCATGATTTTTAATAATATCATTTTTCTTTTCTTTTTCAGCACTATCGTGGCTCCCTGAAATCCCTCAATACGGGTATTGTTACTCTGCTAAATTATGGCAAACATGTACCACCGGCCGTATCACATGTAACACTGGCCCATGAAATTGGCCATAATTTTGGATCACCGGTAAGTGAAATAAACTATAGCAGGATTATAAATTTTTTTATAACAATTTAAAAAGTATCAGTCGGTATTGGCGACAGCTGTATAACCTCAACCAGTGTTTGTTTATTAAAATATATTTAGATATTATTGATATTTTTCAAATTGTTGCCCTTCAAGGGAGAGGCATCGAAGGACTAGGACAATATTGTTTTGTGGGGGAGGAGGAGTTAGCCAATACATTCCATATTCATATCAGACCTCTGGTTGGGATAAATATTTACCTAAACCAAGTTAAGAAAGATTCGTTAAATATTGAAAATAGTTTTCCTATGTGCGGGAGTTACCCGAAGGCGTGCGCTGATATCTACCATCCCCACCCAGATCGTGCGCTAGTTAAAATATTGGAATGTGTGAAATTTGAAGATAGTCTGAAGTTTCTTTCACATTTTATGATCGTTTGATTTTATGAAAATCGGATACTTAATTTGGATTTTATTTCAAATGTTGACCCGTTGTGGGTAACAGATTTTGTGTTAATAGAAATATTGAAATATGTCGAGTTTGAAAGGAATTTGATGCTCATTTCGCGTTTTACGAGAAATTGAGATGTGTGAAATTTGATGGGAATTAGATGTTTATTTCGGATTTTATGAGAGACATAATTATTCATTTAGACCCGCTGTGGGGGAGGTACCAGAAAGAGTGGACACACCAGATCTAGCATTGATAAAAATATTAGGATGTATGAAATTTGAAGACAATCGGACTCTTCCTAATATATAAGAGTTATAATTGGGAGAGGTACTTAATGAACTGGTCCGATATTGTCCATTTTCGTACCTGACATAGCAATGACAAAAATATTGGGATTTGTAAAACATGAACGAAATTGAATTATCCTTTCTTGTTCTATAAGATAAATTATTTTCTATAAAAGTTTTCAGCTTTTGTGTGGGAGGTACCAGAAGGAGTGGACCGATATTACCCATCTCCGAACTCGATATAAGTTTAGGAATAATGTTACGATTTACCAAGTTTGGATCAAATCAGACAGACAGACGGACATCCTCACATCTAAAAAAACATCAAAAATATCCCTTTGGTGACTCCTATTGTTATCAAGCCACATTATATCTAAAATTTTAGTATTTAAAGAAATCTTATTCCGAAAATTACAAAAAAAAAATGGAAAGGGGGGAACTCCCCCTTACTAAGGTTACTTTCCTACGTAAAATGTTAATATGCCAATATTTTTCTATACCTTACAAAACCATGTGCTGGGGATGTTATAAGTTTAATCGGGCCAAAAAGATGTACACGGTATCGATAATGGAATAGAAGCCTATTTTGAGGGAGATGATCGCAAAATATTAAGAGGTTTAGATGGGCTAGGCATTGGAAATGAAAACGAAACGCAGGCAGTCACTCGAAGTCGATTTCAATTAGATATCCCTAAAACTCGGATCTTTCTTTTGCCTAGTCATGGTATACAGCCCATTCCGGCGAAGCGCTTGCTGGGGCGATCGACTCTTTGTTATTTTTTTTTTGTGCCAAACTTGCTTTCCAAAATACTGCGGACAAAATAGTCCAACGGATTGGTGTCCGGAGATTTTGGTGGCCATTGTGCGCTGGAAATGAAGCGAGGATCCTCATTTTGTAACCATTCTTGGTTAGCGCGTGCTGAGTCCTTTTGGAATGTCCCAGGTCTGCGGCCAAAATGTTTGCGTGCCAAGGCTTTAATATACACTCCAGAATATTTTCGTGATAATATTCGGAATTTGTTCTGATGGCATGGTCGATTAATACGAATGGAGAGCGACCATCGGCTGTTATGGTGGCCCACACCATCACCATGGCCGGCGCTTGAGTTCCGGTGGCCAACCGAAGGTGCACATTTTCAGCTGACCTCTTTGGCAAGTAAATACGATAATTTTGTTTGTTTACAAACTGTTGGACAACGAATGTTTCTCATCGGAGAAAACCAAATTCGACAGTTCACCACTTTCGACCAAGCGAAACAACTCTTTAGCTCTTTTGAGTCTATTTTGTTTTCTTGCACTTTTTGGAATTTCAGTGGCTCCATTTCCAATATTTGCCGAATGGAATATTTCGATATGTTCAGCTCACGAGCTATTTTTCGGCCACTGCGACGCGGGTTTTGATCAAGTCGCCTCTTTACTTTTCAAACCATTTCTGCTGGTGTTGGTGTTTTCTTCCGTTCACTTCCTAAATGTTCACTTCCATCACGAATAACTTTTTTTCTGGAAAATTCTCACCAAAATGCTTTTGTACACTTGTAAACAATATAATGAGCTGTCACTGGAATAATTTTAACAGCTGTCGGACGAGTGGCTTAGAAATGACAGCAGTCTGAAGTTGGTTGCAGTTTTTTCATTTCACCCTGAATATTTGAAATCTATGGTGTCCTGAAATCAAATTTGACCAGTAGTTAAATCAATTTTTTAATTACGATTGGCATGGAATCTGTTTGCAGGAGCTCCCACCATAATATTTCTGATGTTCACAATACTCATCAACAATTCGAAAAATTTTTGCTCCCCCCAAACAATTTCTCTATCTCGGTAATCTATATTTTTATTTTATGTCTCTTAGACATCCTGATACTTTATTTAAAGCGGACAACCCCATTTTTATTTTCATACCCCAAAAATTACTTTCATTTTAATTTTACCCAACAAAAAATACATGACAACATCCCTCCCAAACAAATAGACTCCCATTACAGTTCATATGTTCGTTTCGCCCAAAACCATGATCTGCAAATGTAACAATACAACGTAGTATTTAACAAAATGTAGCGGCAACAATGCATTTCGAATGGAAAGGATGTGGCAAATTCCGCACAGACACCGACTATACGCGATAACGTTTAAATAGGTGTCTGCCAGGAAGGTTACTGTTTTGCTTTTTCTCCTCCGCATATACATACATATGTACATTTTTGTGTGCATGTAGATCTCTCTGTGTGAGTCTGCGATTTTGGTAGAATGAATGTGGAATGCACTTAATGCAATTAGTTACAGTTCGTCGCGTTAGCATGAAATTCTCTCTTTTTCGTTGAACTTTTTAACTATGGCGTCGAGAGGAACTTGATTTTCCTGTGTATATGATATATATGCTGTGTATTCCTTTTAAAATTGTGTGCATGTGTGTGAGTGTGTGTGTGTGTGGAAATATAGTAAGTTAGCAAACATACGTTTCTGTATAAAGTTTTCTACGCTGTGTTTTTCATGTCTGTTCGTTGTGGGTGTTAGTATAGTCATGACACCAATACATGTATGTGTATGGTGGGCGATTTTTTCACACTCTCGCTCTCTCTCCATGGAAAGAAAAAAAGGAAGCCATACTCATATACAGATTATACAGTCGGATACACTTTCATGCACTCATTTATAACAATAGACTCTAAAGATACCGCACTTTCTTGCCAAGGATAGTAAATTAATGTTAGGGTGTTTCAATTAGGGAAATTTTGCATGCAAATGGTATGTTTGAGATATATTGGAGGATTATGTTCCTATTATTATTTTTTTTTTTTTTTTTGTTTTTTTTTCGACTTTGAAATAGATTACAGCAAATTGGGCCGAAATTAACTTTTTGGAGTCTTCAGCTAAAAAATATGAAGCTTTGAAATAACCAACCTCGGTCCTTTTGGCTTATTATACCCTTAGCCATATGGCTAGGTATTTGATACGCCCAAAACGTGATTCATCGAAAAAACAGTCTTAGACCCTAGGTCTCTTTGAACCAAATCCGTTTCAGGAAATTTGTAGACGATCTAGCGATGTCCGTCGGTTTAACTGTCAGGCTGACTAGTGCTCACGATAACTCTCGAAAGGAGTATACGATTTAGTCCAAACTTATAATATTATTTTCAAACTTATTCGGACATAGGCAATATCGGTACAATCCTTCTGACATAAAATATTTTACTGCACAGAAAGAGAAAGGATAATTTTGCAAATACTAATGTTTGCATCAGTGCTAGGTCAGTTCCAAAAATGGACAATATAGGTCCACTGCACCAAATACCTCCCACACAAAAATTTGGAATAATTATAACTCTTTTAAAATGTTGTGTAAGATTCAGATTGTCTTCAAATTACACACATCACAATATTGATATTAGCCTAAGATCTGGTGTGAAGATGGAATATATCGAATCACTCCTTCGGGTATCTCCCTCACAGATGGTCAAAATTTTAAATAATCATGAAGATCGTAAAACGCGAAATTAACATCCGATTCCATTCATACTTAGTAAGTCTCAATGTTTCTATCTAGACAATATCTGCTATAAAGATGGTAGAGATCGGACAATTCATTCTGGTACCTCCCCACAAATGATCAAAATTTTGAACAACACAAACAATTATAAAATCCGAAATAAGCATCAGGTTCACTTCATACTTCACACATCCCATTATTTCTATTAACACAAGATCTGATGTGAAGATGGGATATATCGGTCCACTCCTCCAGGTACCTCCCGCACAAAGGGTATACATTTTGAATATCCATAAAGCTCATAAAACTCGAAATTAACAGCCGATTTCATTTCAGACTTGGCACATATCAATATTTCCATTAAGACAAGATCTGCTATAAAGATGGTAGAGATCGGACAATTCATTCTGGTACCTCCCCACAGAAGATCAACATTTTAAATAACACAAACAATTATAAAATCCGAAATAAGCATCCTGTTCTCCCGTTATTTCTACTAACACAAAATCGGCTATGAAGATGGAATATATCGGTCCACTCCATCTGCTTCCATTCAGACCTGGCACATCTCAATATTTCTATCAACACAAGATCTGTTATAAAAATGAAAGAGATCGGACAATTCCTTCTGGTACCTCCCCCAGAAAGGGTCAAAGTTTTGATTAACCAAAACGATCAAAAAATCCGAAATAAGCATCTTCATATTTTACACATCCCATTATTTTTGCTAACACAAGATCTGCTGTGAATATGGAATATATCGGTCCACTCCA